AATTCTCAGCAAAATGGAATATTTACCTGCATTTTTAAGGTGAAAAGTAAAGCTGTAGGAAAGCAAAAGTCATCACCATGGACTGGTAAGTAATGTTGTCTTTTGAGAGGGGAAAAGCTGATAAAAGACTAAGATATACATGTTTTAATTCTATAGAAAAATGTGATTAATGGAAGCACATTCTTTACCAAGGAGTTACTTTACAAACATATGCTATAACATATTATACGAAGTAGGAACAAATCAATGCCCAGTATGGCCTAAAACATTTCCTGAACAAGTATTTACTTTGGTAATACAAAGACATTTACTTTAGAGTTATATGACTTCCCTTTATGTCTAAAGGGAAAATGATTGTAATAGCCTTGGTAAAAAATATTACTGAAATTAAATTTTCTAACAGACAGTGAAGTACAAAAGAGCATAAGAACAAAGGACACTATACTGAGATACTAGAAAAAAAATCATGGTGTAGTGGAAAAAAACAAAAACAAAAAAACAAAAAACCTTGGATGACAGGTGCTTCTAGGCTCTGCTGTTACCCTGGGAAAAAAAACCCTGGGCCTTGGTTTTCTATCTATAGAAGAAGTCAAACTAGCTTATCTCTTTCTAGTCCCACTTCCTGAGCCTACAGTATCTTTCTTAGAAAGAATCTCTGACTTTCAGCAGAATACCTGTTTGACTGGAACAAAGACCACATTTGCAACTAGGTATGACCAAAATGATAAAGGTTTAGCCACTGAAATGTAAGTCAAAGTGCTCTATGTCTGTCCAGATAAATCTCCTTAAAAGAGACTATATATACTTTTTATCTCTTTTTTCCTCCACTCTAGACAATCTACTGCTAGGGATGGCTGGAACTCTAACAACCATTCTGGAAATAAAGTTTTGTCTTATTTAAGACATAATTGTTTGGAATTTTTCTGTAATTTCAAAAAGAACTTAATCCTAGATGGTACAAAACAACATACTTATACTATATTAACTTGAGATTAAGTAGTTATTCAACAATAAATACTAATGAAAATAAAATGCTAGAAGGAAAAAGAATCCTAGAAGGAAAGATCACATATGGTATTACCATTTTCCTACTAACTTCAAAGAATAAGAGAAAAGAGGGGGTTAATGATTTTCCTCCCCTCTAATAGGGGTAGTTAGTACGTTTAGCGTTGGTAGATTAATTCCATACATTCATTATTCCCTCATTCTTCATTCAGCAAATATGTATTAAGCACACTATGTGCCATGTACTAAGGTGCCTGAATAAGACAGAAGAGATCCCTATTTTAATAAAGTTTACATTCTAGTGGAAAAGTAAAAAGCAGTGGATATTTAATGGTGGAAAAATACACAAAGAGCTTAGCTATTCTTCCACTGATGACACATTCTCACCATCAAAAATATAAACTAATTTTAACTAAGTTCTTCCTTTATTTTTTTAAAGATTTTATTTATTTATTTTAGAGAGAAAGAGAGAGAGCGCAAACACACGGAGAGAAAAAAGCAGACTCCCCACCGAGCAGGGAGCCTGACTCAGGGCTTGATCCCAGGACCCTGAGATCAGGGCCTGAGCCGAAGGCAGACACCTAACCGAATGAGCTGCCTAACCAAATGAGCCTAATTTCTTCCTTTAGCTAATGAAGGCTCTAAACAAGAAGCAGAACTATTTAATATTCTTTGCAACTAGATCAACTGTTCCTATAAACCTTTATTTGTGAAGAGAGAGCATGTTTTATCCATCTTTTAAATCCAGAATGGAAAAAAATTCTTGACATTTCATAGTCATAACATCTTGAAACATAATTTTTATAGAATGAAAATGAACACAGAAATGACTATGATAAACAAAATAAATTCTGGAAAGGCATTTTTTCAAGGAACTTAAAATCTAACTGAAACTTTAGGAACAGAGATAATCCAGTCATATAAAGAAATTGTTGATCAGTCAACAAAAGGGACTAAGAACTGTAATATCTAAATAAGACATAAAAACCCAGATTATGAAAAGGCCCAAGCGATTTTTAAATATGCCAAGGCTTCAAAAGCAATGTATTTGTACTCCCAATCCTCTGATAAAAATTAATATTAGGGAATAAGTGATTGTGGATGTGGAGGTTAACCTACTGATGAATACCTACCTACTAAATGATTTAGGTATGACAGACATTAGTTCAGAGCTGGATTTCAAATGTGGAAGATATAATAAGACAATCAAAGAGAGTAAACTGGAGGAAAAGAGATCCTAAAGTCAGGAGAACAAGCCACCAAAGGGCAGAAGAAAAAGTCATATACCACTGATGTTTTCCTTATGTACTGTGCATACTGATAAATGGCTTGCAAAACAGTGGTTTTAGTACAGTTGACCCTTGCACAACACAGCCTTGAACTGCACGAGTTCACTTATATGCAGATATTTTTCAATACACTAAGGTATCATAAATGTATTTTCTTCCTTATGATTTTCTTAATAACATTTCCTTTTCTTTAGCTTACTTTATTGTAAGAATACAGCATATAATACATATGACATACAAAATACGTGTTCATCAACTGTTCATGTTATCGCTTAGGCTTATGGCCCATAGTAGGCTATCCGAAGTTAAGTTTTTGGGGGAGTCAAAAGTAATACACAGATTTTTGACTGCACAGGGTTCATGCTCCTAATCCCCACATTGTTCAAAGGTCAACTGTAATTTCCTCAATAGATCTCTACAGGTCAAAAAATTTACTTTATACCTAACTTTCCATGAAAGAAGTGGTCTAGGCACTTCAAATATAATTCCCTTGAACGAGACATTTCACATAGTAATTTATGCAATGGAAGGCCATATCGAAAGATAGTGTATTGTAATATAAAGTAACTGTAGCTAAAGTGTACATATGCAAACCAAGTTATAGTCTTGATACAGTCAAGTACATATGCCACAATATGGCATAATTTAAGAAGAGCAAAATATATTATAAATACTGTATATTTATAATAAAGCATGATTATTACAATACAACATAATGCTTTTAATATACAAAATGCATTGAAGGATAGTCCTATTATGGGATGCGTATATCTACTTCTCGAGGATTCAAAATGGTTATTATATATACTAAAATTTTATTATGTTTCGATATGCCCTTTAAAGGAGTGACTAAATCAATAACCTGAGTATTTTTTATAAAATTGAGTTGACATCTGAACTGAAAAGAAGTCCACTTTTTCACATAAAAATGTAAATGCCACAAAAATGGTGATCTTATTTAATGTCACTGTTCAATCTCAATAGAGATAAAGATCAAGGACAGCAATTCTCTCTGAAAATGGGACTATAAAGGAAAGGACTAACTCTAATTAATAGAAAATAAAGTATAAATGGCATTGGTTCTTAAGCTGGGGTTCAAGATGTATTTCAAAGAACACAGTATCACCCTGAATGAAGTTTTATATAAAATTCTGAGTGTTAGTTTTTATCAGATTCTCAAATGAGTGTGAGATTTAAAGAGCATTCAGCACACTTAGAAGTGTAATGATCTTACTGTTAGCTGAAGAATTTTACAAGCCCCTAAGTTATTCAACAGCAAATACCCAGATAATAGTACTTCATTTCCAGAGTCCCTGAATTTACCTCTTCGCAAAGCAGTTTCAAAACCAACCAAACAAACCCAAAGATGGCACAGAAACCCATCAACTCAAGAGATGTAAGTTTGTAGAAAACTATATGGGATTTTCGACTGCAGTCAAGATCAGAGGAAAATCATCTGACAGTTGCAACATAAAATTAAAGAGAAGAGAATGACACATATTTCTCCGGATATCCCCTTTATAAAGCTCTTTCCCATTCCAAGACCTAATAAATTAAGTTGAACATCTCAGACACTCCCTCTCGGAATCTTAAGGGTGAAATCCAAATGCCACTCCCCCATAAGAGAAGCAAGGAACACTCCCACCCCAAAGAGGCAGGAAACAGGTTTCTCCCAATTTCAAGAAAGTGAGCAAAGCGAAGTTTGTAGTCAAGGATGACTATCAGCCAAAATGAAGGAGACTTGTCACTCTTGTTTGACGGGAGGGGTGGGAAGGCGGGACCCAAACCTTAATGCTGCCGCACACGACGGGGCCCGAATCTTCAATGTAGCCTTGCCAGATTGGTGTGGAATTGAGAAAGCAACTCAGCAGCAGAGCTGAATGGCAAAGGCAAGACCTGAACCTCCTGGTGAGGAATTACGTGGCACTAAGCAAACAGTGCTTCGTCTCCCCCACCTCCTGCTTCCGCCCTGCTTTTCCCCCTTCGGTTACCAGTTGCTCCAGATGCCGTAGAGTAGTTCAACAAAAGCGAAAGAGAGGTTCAGGCACAGGAAGAAAAACAGGTTCCGGGACGTCTTGTCCGACAGGATAGACCTGGGGGAGTGATAAAAGTGGAGAAGAGGCGGGAATCAAAGGGGTGCCAGGACCCGGAGGTTGGGTCCCCTTTCAAGACCCTCCCAGTCCAAACCTCCTTTCCTCACAGGGAAGGAAGGTGTCCCTGACGCTCCCTCCCTGGACCTCGGGTTATCCTTAGGTCTGGGCCTTCTCCCCTTCGGCCGGATACCTCCTTCCCGCAAAAACAGCACCCGCACCTAAACCAGCCCGAAATCTTGCCGAACAGATTGAACTTGGGTGGTTTGTATTCATCGTCCTTGATGGACAGGGGCAACATCTTCTCTGCCCGGCGAAGCGCCGGGTCTACTCCCCTGTAGAAGTGGCTCCGTGGGTGATGGTAGTGAGAGTGGTGACGCCTCAGATGGGATTCCCCAGCGTTTGTCCCGGGCCGCGCGCCGCTTGGAGACACAGACACAGACACAAACCCGGGAACTCGCCGACTTCCGGCCCGGGCCGCGCAACGCGTCCTGGGACGCGAAAGGGGGAGGCGGGGCCGGGGGGCGGGGGCTTGTCCGGGGGAGGGCGGGGCTTACGGTGGGAGCGAGGTGGGAGCGAGGTGGGAGCTGCGGGGAGGCGATAGGGGGCAGAAAAAAGTGGCAACTGCTGGGTAGTTAATGCGCTGGCCTGGGATGTAGGCACGAAGAAAATCCTGAAGTGTCGGCCCACAGACTGTGATGGCTGGGAGGTTGAGGGCCCGCTCTTGCCCACCCAGACCGCCTACCACTGATGTTCCCGGATGCACTGGCGTCCAGCGCCTGCCCTTTCGCCATTTCCCCCTATTAGCATTAAATCCCGGTGTTGAGATGGCAATGCTTTAGAACCCAGGCGTCAACGTGTTCTGTAGCCGCCAGTCCGCAGGAAGCGCAAGTGATGGTTTTGCTGGGTGAACTCGGTGGTCACCCAAATCCTAGTAATCCAGTCCCGGAGAAGAGCTCCTGGCCTTCCGTAATGCCAAGTGTGAGGCAATCAACACATGCCTTTCGAAAGAACGTTAAATGAATCCAGAAGAAGCCCTTTAAAGGAACCCCCTACGAGACCATGTTGGAATTGAGGTTTGGGTAAGGCACTGCTTCCCGGACAATCTCAACCCGCGAACCCCCCAAAACTCTCGAGTTCGTGCAGGTCCCTTTCACTTCCAGGTCATCCCGGGGGCCGCAGCCGCGGCTGTAATTCTTGTCAGAACCTCCCTGCGCATTTGAGGGAGGTGCTGGAGGAGCTGACCCGTTGGTTGGGCTCGAGGACGCGCGGGGCGCAGAGTGGCGAGCTCTCGGGCTTGTCCTGGGCACCCACAGTCGTTGGAACGTTCCTGCGGGCGCCTTTCCGGAAAATTGCTTGGATAAGGTCAGGTGGTCCATCACGTGAATGATTAAAAGTTGTTACTTTGGGGAAGAAATCGGGGGAAAGGAAGATTGGCTTTTGGAAGTGGGCTGGAAACTACAAAATCGAGCTTCTTGGGAGCTTTTAGTCTAACAGGAAGTGGAGCGTCACCGGGGAAGGAGGGGCGGCCACCCAGGGACTGTCCCCTGCTTCTGGCGCTCACTTTGCGGGCGGTGTTTTTTCCAGGTTATCCTTCAGCGAATGAGGCCGGGTAGATGCACGCTGCTGGGTTTAGAAACAAACAAACAAACAACAACAACAACAAATGAGCAAGCGAGACGCCCCTTCTGTTTTATGAGAACCAGGCTGCAAGCAAATAAATCGGCTGGCCCCACTGCAATCTTCTGCGCTCGAGGTAAGGAAATAGCAAATGCTCTCGTGTTAAAAAATGTTTGCAGTGAGGATATATGCATGTTTTGTTCTCGTTCTTGGAACTTTGTGCGTGAGTGGGGTAGTGATTTGTTGTCTTTATTTTTGAAAATGTATTTTTTTCATTGTTCATGTTAATTAAAACTGCTGTGTAAAACAGCTAGATTCCAGAAATTAAGTTCTGTAAAGAGCATTTTCTCTTTGCCTTTCTTGGCCAATGTTTCATTATTTTAACTTAAACATAGAAATATTTTCAATTGGTAGAATTTACTTACATTTTTTAGGAAGCTTTTATATGAGCCATAGACTTTAAATTTTACTGTACTGCACTGCTGGGGAAATATTAAGTGGTTGCAAACTAGGTTAAAGATAAATATTTCCATGGTAATGGGGTTTTTCTCCAAAACGGCTTTATTTCAATATGATGTAACTGGGGAGTGGGGGGGGAGAGATATATAGAAATAACCAAATTTCAGTAACTGATTTCCAGTATTCTCTTAATTCATCAAGGCCAGCTGCAATTTGAGCCTGTATTTTTGCATTCCACTTTTGAAAATGAATTCTGCATTTTATCCTATATTGGTGTGAACGAGAAATTGCTCAGCATGTTTATGGAGAAATCTGCATTACCCCATTACTCCTTTCAAATACTTTTGAAATAAGTTGGAGAAATTAAAGTTTGATTTCAGTTATATTGGTTTCCTGGGACTCCCAAATTGCAGCCTAACTTCAATACTAAAGGCATTTTATTGGAAATAGAAATTGGACACTAGTTAAATGAAGAAAAGTTCTATGAGTGGAAAATGTTTGCATCTCACTTCTCTTGTCATTCTGAAATAATGTTTCTTCCATATATGTTGACCAATATATATTGTCATATCAAAGTTAAAGTTAGTTTTTTTCATTCAGTGGTCATTTAATGAGTGTCTACTATCTGCTAGGCTCTGTGCTGGGCACAGGGTGGGAGGAAGAAAATAATTATAAAGCCAGTTAAGTCCAGATTCTTTCCCTGGAAGAATTTTATGGGATGAAGAAGTTGATGTGAGGAGAGAGGGTGACAGGATTTTAGAATTGTGTGATGTTTAAGATGTGCACAAGGTATGCCCTTGGTGTATCAAAGGGAGACAACTGTCACTCAGTGAGTCTTGTGATATATACCAAGGCTTTGGTCTCAGCCATCCTGTTGCCCCTTTAATAACTTGTTTCATGAAAGAACATTATTTTGGAAAATCAAAAATGATTCTTCTGCTCAATTCAGGTGGTCATTACAGATGCAGGATTTTGAAAGATTCCAATCATAACTCTTAATTCCTTCATGTCTTAAAAGATTAAATGGGTTTCTAAGATTATAAAATAGATATAGTAATGAACATTTTAAAATTAATACATGGATTTCTACCCTGAACTTTGAAATATTTGTTTAGATCATCTTCTACTAATTAATTGCATTAGATTAACTAGGCAGACTATACGACGGAAAAAAACCAGCTTTTCAGACATGTGCTTGAGGACTGTGAGAAATGAAGGCAGAGAGAATGAAGGGGCAGATGCTTATCTCCAGTCAGGGTTCCAGCTCCTTTCAGGCAGTAGTCAGTAAGGAAAAGGAAGGATGCCATCTGTCATTCCTCAGTAATCAACCCTGGCATTTAGCTGCAGCCCTATTTTAGACCCCATGCTTTTTTAGATGCTTCAAATTGAATGCCCTGTGAACCTCGACTGGATAAAGAAGCTGTGATGGTGGATACAACTACAGATTCTTAAAAATCTAGAAATCGAATATAAGTGTAAATTGCTAATGCATTCCAAGGTTTTGCTTCATGGCACATATCTATAGCATATAGCTTTCAAATGTATAAACACATTAGATGGGGGGATGATACGAGTTTATTCTGCTTCTGCATACTTCCCAAACGTGAAAACACAAATATAGCTGGGTTAGCTCCAACCTCACGGGAAGACGTTATCTATCTCTCTGCCTAAATGCAATCTTTAGAACACAGAATAGCTCATTTTAATTTCTAAAAATAATCTGAAGCCTATAGGCAATGGCATTAAAAGCATTTTTAAAAATTTTCTGATGATTGATAAAAACATCACAGAAAAATCTTTGATTTCCCCTAATAGCACCAAGAGGTCCTGTTCCTATCAATTACAGAAGCCATAAAGAAAAGTTTTAAGAAGTTAAATCTTTACCATAATGAGGTAAGTACCAATATGGGCTTTTTTGTTTGTTTTTTAAAAAATTGTGGTAAAATACACATAACATAATATTTGCTATCTTAGCCATTTTTAAGTGTATAGTTTAGTAGTATTAAGAATATTTACATTGTTGAGCAACCATTCCCCAGAACTTTTTCATTTTGCAGGACTGAAACGCTATACTCATTAACCAACTCCCCATTTCCCCCTTCCCCCAGCCCCTGGTAACCACCATTCTACTTTTTGTCTCTATGAATTTGATTCCTCTAGATAACCTCCTGTAAGGTCTTTTTGTGACTGGTTTATTTCACTTAGCATAATATCCTCAAAGTTCATCCATGGTATAGCATGTGATAGAATCTCCTTCCTTTTAAAGGCTAAATAATATTTCATGTATATATCACATTTTGTTTCGCCATTCTTCTGTTAATGGATATTGGATTGCTTCTACCTTTTGACTTGTGAACAATGCTGCTGTGCACATGAGTGTTGTACTAATATTTTTATCTGAGAAGAATTATTTCCTGTAGAGGTACTCTTATTTCGTTGGAAATAAAAGTTCCTACTTGAGCCAGGGTCTGTTCGAAAATACTGTAAGGCCTCCCTTAGTCTAACCCATCGAAATAGTTCAGCTTACGGAATAAAGCCAATACCCATAAGGTTGAAATATTCTTGTAGACTAGAACAAAGCTGAAGATAAGAGACTACACAAGACACTGAAAATACGAAGTGGCGCAAGTGTGGAGTTTGGTGTGACCTACCACTCTTTATGTGGCTCAGGGAAAATCATTTCGTGTTCTCAGTCTCCACTATCCCATCTCTAAAATGGGGTGGATATATTTTAATTTCCTTGTCTCTAAAGATTTGAAACCTTACTGATTTGAGGTATTATATAACACACAGGTGGCAGAGGTCTGACAGTTTTCATTACTATTGCTGAGCTCTGTGAGGGCAAGAACTGGGTGCTCTTTGCATTACCATCCCTAGTGCCTGACAGTGCTGGGCACGGGGTAAGTACCTGTTAAGTGTTTGTTGACTGATGGATATTTACCATGGGGATTTGGACCTTCCTCTAAAAAAGTTAGAAAGCTTGTATGAGCCAGGATTGCTTTGATGTTAGGTTTGATATCTAAAACTATTTATAAATTATAATTCATATGTATGAAATCTGTTTCTCTTAGCGATTTTGGAATGTGAGTTTATTGCTGAACACCACTGTTTTCTAAAAGAGAGAAGTTTCCATAGAATATTCCAGAGATCCATTGCCTAACAATCGTGCCTTCTCTCCGTTTTCCTGTGACTTAAACAGAAGTTCAAATGAAAAGCTCTATTATGCTAGAATGGTAAAAGCAATATATTTGCAGATGTACTTGGTTTCTTTTTGACCCATTTCTGGAACTAATTTTGCATGGCACTGTACTGAGCTAAAAATGCTTTTCTATTTCTAGGCTTTCTTCTTAGGATGCATTGACTCCTTGGATCCTTACAAGTCGTGGATGTTCCTCTTAGAAATAAGGCCATTCCTACTCCTGTCCTAATACATGTCCATGGAATTGGTCATCTCCAAACATCATCATCATTATCTTCATCATAGCTACAATGAATTGGCAATTCCAGGAGAAAGATGCAAGGCTAAAGCGAACTTTTATCTAGCATAGTTTTATGTAGCATAACCTGGGCGCTTCGAGGGTAGAGAGGAGCTCGCTGTCTGCCTCAGTAACAAATGGCTGAATTAAAGGAGGAGGTACTTTAAAAACATGTCCCACATGATACTTATACATTATTTCCTCTTAAATCAGCGATAATGAAGCAAATCCAGTTAATTGATAGTAGCTGTCTGAGGAAGTATAGAAAAGGAATCTGATGCTTTGTTCAGGCTTAGGAGGAAAAAAAAAAAATGCCAGGACTGTTGGGCAGCTTCTGCTATGAATAAAGGGGTGGGAGTGGACAGGCAAGTGGAAACACAGGTACTTACTGACTGTTATCCCTGCTTTAAATGCTGCTCTTGGTGTTTCCTCTAACTGGATTTACCTATAAAGGAATGGCTCACTCTGCCTGGCTGCCAACAGAAGGACTTGATCTTGAATGTGCCCAGTACGGAAATTTCTTTCCTTACAGCCTGCAGTGAGAAATGACCTGTCACAGCATCTATCTATTCAAATGCGATATTGCAGTAACTGTAGCTGTTTATCAACCTGCTTTAGCAATACTGTTTCGGAACTACAGTTTCAAAATGCAGTGAGGGCCAGAACGAAGCTTTCTAAAGGACAAGCTTTAAATTGGCTATCAGTGATCTTATATATGTAGCCAGTTACACTGTGACTAGAAAAGACTGATTGCATTCATCCTAATGGCCAATCCACGACCCAGTTGATCCAGATTGTGGTCATCTAAATGATCCATTCTGAACACTGTACAGTTGATCCTAAGCACAAGCTGAATCCCACGCTATGGACACTTTCATTATTTATTATTGCTCTAAGTGTATTCCTACTCCTCTTTTTCCTGTTCCTAAATAATGTCCTGTTCCTGAATACAAATAATAAAGAATATTTATTGGTAACACAAAATCAGTTAACTTATTTTGATGTGTTTAGACCCATGAAGAAAGTAATGGGAGTTAGGAAGAGCCTTGTAAGAACAGATGGGTTCCTCAGGAGGAAGAGTGAGGGAAAATCATTTAGGAAGCAGAGGATAGCAGTTGGTAAAGGATGAGAAAAGTGGTATGGCACTTCTAAAATAACAGTGAAAGGAATGAATTTCTTGAATATGTGGAAAATAACGAAAGGCAAAACTCTTCCCAGAATACCGGATAGCACCTGAAAAAGACTTGTAAAGAAAAGTGACCTTTCATGTGCTATTTCTGGCATTTTGTGTTTAGTCGTGAAGTAAATTCTAGCGTATGTGGCTTGAAATTTTAATGGAAGAGGCTTACTATGGGCAATAGTGAATGACACTTGGCAGCCGTGTTTTCTCACTTAGTCTTCTTTTTCTGCCGATTGTCCTGAAGTCCAACGGGTTTTTTGGGTCAGTTCCTGGACCCAAACTAAAATTTCATTTCTCAACTAGGTAAGATTTTATTTTCTGTTGGTTTAAATCCTGTATGCTGCCTGCTGGATTAAGTCATCTAGCTTCTAGTTTTTGTTAGCTCCTAAAAGTTTGGGGAAATTCACAAGGAGGATATTATCTAAGAAGGGATGCTTTCCCCCCAAGGCAAATCAGCTCATTCTCCAAGAGCTTCCATAGAAACAAGGATGTGCAAAGGTATTTTAATGCAGAATATCTTTGAAAAGATGCAAAAAAAAAAAAATAAGAGTTCTGGGATGTCTTTTATTTATCAAGTAGCTTGACCACAGAACTGAAAGTAGAAAAGTGGCTTGTGCTTAAGACCACATTTCTGACTGGCTGTGCTGGTCACCAAATGGGGGATAACTCAGGTCTTTCACATAGGGATTGGTTTCTTGGGTACTGTCTAGTCTTAATTGGGCCTTCGTTCGCATTTAAGTTTGTTCTGTTAGTTTCAAACATTTCTTATCCTTTGTGGAGTTGAAGACCATTTAAACAGAGATTCCCTCACCCCATTTAACCACAAAGAGTTGGGAGCGCTTCCTCAAAAAATGGGCCTGGCACTGTTCTGGATGACAAAGACTAATGGAAACTGCCTTCCAAATACAGTTAGACTCAAAAAGGAGCATAGTCAATGGTTGTAATACCTAGAAACAAAGGCTAGTGACACCATGTTCTGAGTTCCCAAGAGCACTGAGGATAGAGAGTGTGAGGAATGTTCACAGGGGAGGGGCCCGGGAGTAAGAGTTTGTCAGGTGGGGACAGGAAAGTGCTTTGTCGGTGGAGAAAATAGCATGTACCAACACATGGAGTCCTAAGCCAGCACACTGGCTGTCGGTACCATAAAAGTCCTTCTGGAATTTGGCACCACGTGTCTCTTTGCCGTGGATTGAGCAGTGTGTGTCATCTGCATGCTAGAAACCTGGTCAGAAACTCCTCATTGGTTGGCATAGCTGTCTCTTCCAACTCTTGCATGTTCACAGAAGGAAAGCCCAGGTTCTGAATTGGCCTCTGCATTGCCCCTCTCGACGTGATTTTACGTCTTGGCAGCTGAGGGCCCTTTTCTGAGCATCTATATTCTATAATCATCAGTTTTTAGGCAAGTACATGTTTTGCAGGATAAACCAGAGGAGAAAACAATCTGTACAACATGAGACAAATCTAGTAGTGAAATGGCAGAATAGTTATCGTTCCTCCGCCATCTGTGGCATCAAAATGAAAATGACAGCTTCTCGGTGTACGACGTCAGGCTGCTCCCTGCTTTTCTACTTTATGAGTCAGACGACATAACTAATCTTTGTTCGTACTATGCTCTGGCATATTTGTTTTCAGCTTCAGTCTGGATAATTGCTGCTTTTTCAGTCTGAAGGAACTAGCCCTGAGAAAAGAATTATTCATTCAGCAGCATTCCTTCTAGGGAATTTGGAGAGACGATATAAGTAAATAACTGACTAGTGGGTCTCTGAAAATTCGAATTGCCTGGTCCATTTAGAGACACCCATTAGAGAATTTGCAACTGTTGCTTTATAGACTACGCATTATTTACTTTCTTATACCCACATTTAAGAAAGTTTTTTTAACATTTCAAGTAATGCTCTTCCAAAAGCTATTCAGTTATCAGATATTAAAAAATTTCTGACATAGTGACCCCCCCAGTTCCACTCCTAATTCTATACCTAAGAGAAATGAAAACATGGTCACATAAAAACTTGTCCATGAATGTTCATAGTAGCATTACTCATAATAGCAAAATCTGGAAACAACCCAAATGTCCAGCAACTGACAGATATACAAAATGTGTTATATCTATGTAGGAATGGAATGCTATGTGGCAATTAAAAAAAATGAGAGAGCTACTGATATATATATATATATATAAAGACATGGATGAACCTTGAAGACATTCTGCTAAGGGGAAAAAAGCCAGACACAACGAC